TTCAACAACCTTGATTAACCGCAGTTGAGATATGTGGATGCAGCAAGCTGATCCTGTACGATGGTGGTCCGCCCACCAGAAATCTAAAGTTTTTCTGATAAAAGTAGCAGACGTGATCATTTATCACGGAATTTTTTGTTGTATTATTGGGAATCCATTTGTTATCGACTTAGTGTGCACAGCTGCGACCTGCTGTCCAAGTTACCAACTGGTAGAACAGCTGTGAAATTTTTTATCGTATGATGCGGTGTGTGTACCCAGGAATTACGTATAAGCTAAGTCTATTAAATTTCAATCAAGACGGGTCTGTAGTGCACAAACCTCGGGAAAACTGTGAAGAAACAAATAAATTTTTGTTAACTATTTGGGGGTCATTTCGATCTCAGTGTCTACGTATGAGGTAAAACACAGCAATTCAGGGAACCAGACAACAACACGCCTTTGATTATCAAGTTTTGTTTCACTAAAGGGGGCTCGATAAAAAATTTAGGTGCCTCTCCAAGTAAGTTTCAGGAGTAGCAGATGCCTAAAGTTAGCTCGAGAACGTTCGAAACTTACGAAGAACCCCCAATTTTATCAAAAAAGCGTCCGCCGAATCCACGGACCAAAAATCCGTGATTGTGTGATCTTTCAAGCAGTCGGGCAGTGACGACTGACACTTCTCAGGCGCCACCTAGAAACGATGCTAATCGACCTAGCAGCATCAACCAGACTGCCATGATTCACGATGAAAGACGCCTGCAATTTTGTTTTTCTTTGTTCGTAACAAAGTTGGTATGTTCTTGTTTGATGTTTCATTGGGTCACCATGGTTCTGCAACCTGGATGTGCAGATGCATAATACAGCCAGAACAACGTCACTCAAAAGACGCTAATTAATCCAGTATCCGTTCATGTGGTTTTATATATATATATATATATATATACTTATAGGTTTACCCAACACAATTGATTCAGACAGCAAATTTAATTATAAATGTTTGGAAGCAACTGTCAACATTGATGGTCAGAACTGATGAAAGGGCTGTAAGTGTGATCAGGCTCGCATAGCCCGTAGACGTTAGCTCGTTAGACCATACCCAGAGAATGTAAACCAATCCTTTTGTACATAGACCTTGTTCAACAAGTAGGAATATGAACTACTTTTGCAATAAAACTGTGTTATGTTTGTGAAAAAATAGTACCTCAATATTTGCTTCACAAAATATCAGGAAGGTCAGATTCCTGAAAGCAACTTCAAAACGCCCGGAACCTAGTGCTCACCAAAAACTCAAGCATCCAGGCCAGTCAATCATTCAAGTAATTCAGCAAAACTTGATGAGTGTTCTTGCGCGCCACAGAAGCACGACCGAATGTGATCAGAGTTCAGGCTTCTTCACAGAGGCACGATCGATATTGATGGGTGCTCACTAACGCCCATCAGACAACCTGGAACAATGTCAGAAAGTCCCCTTTAAATAGCGTAGGGCCGTCGTAACTTTTGCTCTCGCACGCACTCACACTCCCGCACCCGCTTTGTTGGAATAAAGCTATTGTGTTCCCTTCTGTGAGTCTTTTTTCTCCGCCATTAGGCACTGCAGCGGGTCAGCAGCAGATACCACAGATTGACGAATCAGCAGATATAACACAAAACGGATTAGACGAGAAGTTACTCCTGCGTCCGATGTCCTGAAATTGAGAGCACCCTTTAGATAGTGTCGTTTGTCCTGTCGGTAACACCGAATTCACGCGTAGAGGAGCGCGCCTAGACAGTAGCCTCGTTGACCGACCACTATGCACATTTTTGTCCACAGGAAAACGCGGAATCCATAGACCCACACTGATGTGTTCTAATGGAGTGGTTTGGCTTGACGTTCTCGTATGATCACATGATGACATGACATTTAAGCCATGTTCAGGCAAACTGAAGGACGTCCTGGTGTAAATGCTGTACACTTCTGACCGGCTTATCGTTCATCACGCGACCTCTGAGCGACTGGGCCTCCAGAATAGCCTCTTTTTATAGGTTGAATCAAAGATCTTGCCAGACATTCGTCTGCATAACCATTCTGGTAAAACGCGATTCTCAGAAAGTCCACTTACTCCAGAGTGTTTTTGAGTGGATTCTTACTGCTGTGGATGAAGACAAGAGGCTACTCGGGTGTTTCGTTGTCTATCTCAAAACACAACACAAATATATATTCGAGAAACCGAAGTTTAAACCAGAGGCCTCTTTAGCCTATATCTTGAAAAAATAACTTTCCTAGACATACTTCGCAGGGAATCCCCGAATGTTTGGCCATCACAAAAGTATGAATGTGAATAAGCAAGTTGCCATTTAGCTGTGGTGGATTATTTGAAATTTCAGGCGGATGTTACTCACATATTTGACGGTATCCGCCATCAGCCGAACCATCAGCCAGCATCCCACACTTCAGGGTGAAAATTTAGTGAACCGAATCCTTCGAACCGACTCCAGCTTAAGAGCGTGAGCAACTATCTTTACACCCCTGTACACCACTCGCATGGTGCATGCAAGTAACAAAATCCTCAGAAATGCACAACAACTTACGTTTCAATTAAGATGAAAGTTGACTGGCACATCATTCTTTAAGAGGAGTTGAGTTTCAAGAAAACACAGTCGAAAGTTTCCCATACTTCCCGGGTCAGTGCCACATGCAATCCCTTCGTAAACCGGACCGTGTTGTTACAACGATCAGGTGAGAGGTTGTTTATACATGGATCCTCGTGGACTGTTGTCTGGTCCAATGATGGGTATCCGGTAGTGAACGGAGATGAAACAGTTAGCCGTCATGTGCTGCTGTCTGTAGTGCTTCCCAGAAATTTAGCAAACGATGAGAACAGTGCTGTGAACTCTATTTACCCTAATTAGTCCAACAGTCTGCGACATCTAATATGTCGAGGAAGTCGATCGTCAGCATTTTATTGAAGAATATCCCCTAACAGTTATTCTTGGGGTTTTGTGTAATTACCCGATTCAAAGTGCTGCAGTCTAAATCACTTGTTCGATGTCACGAGAGGCCACCAACCGTGGATGGTCAACGCTCAACGCGCTAGGATTTGAATGTGTAAATTTACCGTGTGCTTGCTTTGAGAAGTTCGACCTGACCGGTTAGGTGAAGTTCATATCAGAGCCCTTTAGAACATGTTTGGAATTTCATTTGACACGAGTACGTCGGAGCTTCAATATATAACCCAGCATTAAATTATCGTATTAAACTTTTGAAAAGTGATCTAACGACGGGTTGAGAACTGAAGACGAGGTAAAATTCTGCTGAACAAACTACTGTTTTGGTGGCTTTCCTGTATTCCAAGCTGCACTAATTTGATACTAGAATTGCCCTAAGATTTTCGAATAGTGTATTCATATTCTTTTCCACTGAGTGTTCTGTCGTTGGCAGGTTTGCACGATTTAACCTGTTTGGACAGATAGAATTACTTTTGACATTTTAGAACTTCCCGGCTACTTGTGTTGCGGTGATACTACTGGGGGAGGCATGCAAGTAGTATGCTTTGTTCTTGCCAATTCGCTCGTAAAGGGAGATCTATTGCGGATTTGTGGACTCGCTTTGTAGCCTTTGCTTGGGACGTGAACACAGTCAATGAATACCCAGGAAAGTTCAGGAATACGCGTTCAAGCGAAGATTTATGTTCAGTTTTTGTAATTAAGACGCATTTGAGAGCATTGCTTTCCTGTCCAATAGTCTGTAACTGATTAGTCATCATTTTCTAATAAATAACTCCACAGCTAAGGCCTTCTTCTATTCACTTGTAGCAAAAGCGACTTCTAACAAACAAAACGTTTGCATAAAATTGTTGTTTTGCTCCAGTGTGTTCCTGCATGTCCCAAATATATGGTAACATATTCTGGCATTCTCTTTGATGCCTGTATTATCGATACTTTAGAAAGGACAACGGATAAAAACCAGTGTTCACAAATTTTCGAAATGAACATATTAATCGTACAAGTATATCTCTTGCACACGTTTCCCTGTATTGGACCGTTGATCGACCGTTCAATTTCAACATCTGGGTAGGAACCGTCCCTCCTATTGTGACTCATATTTCAATTATCCATCCTAATGTGAACACAGTCACTACGTTTGTGAACCACTATCGCATCAAATGGCCAGTAGAGGTGGAACATTACACTTTATGGACAAATCATTCACAAAATAGCTGTCGAAAACAGGTGGTCTCAAAATTTTTAGCCAGTCATTTTGCTTTATCGAGAGGACGCTAACACTAAGTTTGCAGTAACCATTCTTGAATAGATCCCAATATTTCAAACTAGTTTTTCAGGTGAGTCAAAAGGAGTAAACTGTTATATTTGGTGCACATATTGTATAATAATTATTCTGTGAAATGTGTGTACATACTTGGCGCGGTCAAAAATTGTGTGTGTTTGTCTGACCTCGTATCACTCATCAACCTTTTGTTTGGAAATGTAACTTACTTATAAATTCTCCGTGCCTTGGAATTAAATCGAGTTGAACTGGCTGGGGAACTTTGTGAACATAGAACCAGGCAGCACGCAAGATCAAATTTGGCCCTCTATAAGGCATGTTAAACCGTGGATTATGGTATGCGTGCTTGAAATGACAAAGACAAATGACGAGGACCAATGAACAGCCACATATAACTTTTACATCTCAACTGAAGTGATGAGCGTAATCTACACAGACACGGCTAGGCAGGAGGTAATGTCATCAAAGCAAAGAGAAAAGTGAAAGTTGAGAAACACGTCAACTGACTCATTTTCCAGCCTCAAGAAGGATATATCAGCTTACAACCATATGGTGACTTTTCTTTGTTTTCATAGACGTATATGAAGCGGTGAAATAGAAAAACTCTCCGAAAATAAAACTATCATACAAACATTCCTTGTCGAGATTTTGAAAACGTCAAGTGAAACAGAGAACTGCTCGCCGAGACACGAGTTTTACCACACTGTAGCGTGGCACGCATCCATTCGTTTAAGTATACCTATTCAAGACTTCAATGCAGGCGTTGCTCAACAGCCTTTCTAAACTTTACTTCACAAATCGGAGCCATTCTGAAAAGCTCTCTATTCCTATCCGTTATCTTCAGAAAGTTAGCTTGGAGCCGGCACCTGCCGACTCTTATGCATCTGATGGCCCTGTCCAGCAAGAAGACGGTTCACGATACAACGTTGCCAATGCTCGTACTGGATGTATCAGTTTGAAGTCATTCGGTGACATTCGTTCAACTGCTATTCGTTAGTATGAAGATAATACCAACGATTGAGATGGGCAGTGTACATTTGTGTTGCAGTCGATGACCCTTGAGTTTCGAAATATGGTCGAGGCTAGCAGGTACGATAATAGCTCCAAATTATTAGTTGTCAGTCGACACAGTAAGCCTCACATTCAGATGTACGGTGTTACGTTAAAGACGCAAGAAACGATGGTCTGCTATCAATAGGCTAATCTTTCAACTTATACGTAGCTCCACATTTCTGTTCCAAGGATGTTCACAACTCACTTCGGGTGTCATAAATCCCCCTGTTTTTTGAAACACGCTCTTTGGTACCAATTAATATGTGAACTCTGAATTGAAGTTGATCATACCTTTTTTCTCCAGAGAAAGGAAGGAGTCACAGGAAAGATTACCGTTGGCCAAATAAAGGTATGAGAATGGAAGGAGGAAATATTATCTTGAATTCCAGATGGATGAGATTGTTAGGCGGTAAGAGACGGTTGGTATACGTTATCTTCTTTGAGATCGTCACTACAAACAACTGAAGACAGACGTTGTTCCAGATATCACCATAAAAACCATAGCATATATCAGCCATAGTGCAGTGCTGTCTTCATAGAATTCATGTTACAACAGACTGTCCCACTTGCAGTCATATAGGTGAGCGCATTTTGGGCACAAGGCCACGACTTATAGTTCGGATGTCACATCTCATTCTTTCTGCGGTTTTCTGTTTTGTATGTCTCTGCTGTACCCCCAAGGTGTTACTATTCTAAGAGAAAAAACAACTTAGTCATTGCATGGAAAGTAAGCCGTATTCGCAAAAATAACTGGATTCTGATAGGGCCAGCAAAAGTACGCTTCAAGAGCCGTGGCCATCTTTTAAGTATAAACTGATTACTATGCCAACCAAGTTCTGAGGGAACGAATATCATGCACGTGTATAAACTGCGTGCGTCAAAAATCAACGTTTACTTGGATTACTCTAAATAAATCTTTCACACCCTTCTTCAACGATTACCCTTTACTTGGAAATTTATATATTTCAAGGATGAACTTTTTGCTTTATCCATCTAGATTGTTTTTTGGAAACGGTAAAATTTTATCGGAACTCATCACAGAAAAAGTTTGCACCACTTCACGTACAAATAGTTCACAACTCAAGCAGGTTACTTCCGTTTAGAAGACATCTTATAAAAAACATTAAAGAATCGCACAGGTGATTTGGATTGTATAAAATTCCACTATTTCCGCCATTCTTAACTGACTTACAGCAGAGCATTAGGTGATGAATAAAACAGACTGCTGCCATATTGAGCAAAGTAAGGCGAGTAGCATGGGAGGTGCGTTGATCGACTCAAAGATTTTAAGATTTAGCCCATGAATTACCAGAATGCCAATGCACAACCGTCAACAAAGCTCTCCGAAATTAAGGTCAAATAAAAGTCTTACACATTCGAAACATTGGAACAGTTGTCAAACTAAATAATGTGGTACGAAATAGCACATAACTAATAACGAAGGCAGGCTGTCCACTTTCTTTAGCCACTGATGTGGTCTGCTCTCAAAGCACGTTGCCTCAAGGTCAAGCAAATTGAAGTCTAGCGAATGGTGTTTACATTGAAGGTACAACTGATCTGAAACACCTTTAGGTAAGTTCTATGGGAGACAAACGATTTGGGCTACAATTTTGAAGGTGCTTTCATATGACGGGTGACGAGCTGGAAGTAATCATTTTCCAAGTATGTTTTTAGCATATCATATTTTCAGACGTAAACGCAAAACATTCATTGAATGATGCTTATTTACGCGACGTTCTCCTAAGGTGTTCTTCGTGGAGCTGTATTATGTACTGATGACTTTCATTTGCTCATTGCTTGCAGTTAATCACTAAGATCTAGTGCCAACAGTCAGTAAACTAGCTTCTATAATGAACAGATTCACATACTGTCGAATGAAATAAGTTCTTGTGGAGACGTAAGTTTTGTTCACCATTGCTCACAGTTGTTTATTTGTCTAATTTTAAGTTATATTAACCTTTATTACGATCATAAAATACACAAAAAATACCGGAAAGTGTATTTTGTCCTCATTTACCGAGAATTGAACTACTTTTCTCCCGTAACTTACAGAAAGATCCAAAATGTGGGCATTTTCTTGCTGCTCTGGAATGTTATGGTAAGTTAACTTTCAAAAACAAATCCTCATAGGGATAGAACTGAAAGATGCCATATACAAGAACAAGCTTGTTTTGCTTGTGATGTCATTCTTATACAACATTATTTTAACAATCCACGGATGAAACGAGCTCAAATGTTTTCAACAATTTTTATAAAACGAGAACATTTCGACAACCATTATACAGAAATTCTCTTTGGTTGAATGTCGTCAAGTGTGTAATTCAAATCAGACTACCTTTAGAAACCTGCGCAGTTGGAATGCTTCGGTGAAAATGCCTTGTGCTTCATTAGGCCTGCCGTTGTTGTGGCGGTTATGCCGAGTTGCTGTATCGCAGGGACATAAAGAAGTACAGGTGATTCAGTGAGAGAACAATAAATCACTTTCTGACCCGAAAATCAACAAAGCTTGGAATGGTTGCATTATCCCAGCGCACTAGTTTCTTATCAGCTTGCAGAGTATTACCGGTAATTTCCGCCGTTTGATTGTATAGAAGAGAAAAAAGAAGTAGCTCAAATTTTTCGGCTTTCTTTTATCATCAGTCCATATAATTTACCTACTAGCATTACTACAAAACACATAGAATTTGATATTACTAATGACATTAATAGAACTGTGTAAGGTTACCCTTTTAGCCGATTGAGCTGCAATCAGATATTTCATAGTGGGTTATCTAAAGTTAGTGCATAGACTTTTTTCCGTTCAGCTTTGAGTTAGGTTTAAAAAAGGCATTAATATGGTTGAAAAGCTGCTCATAAAAATTGTCTCACAGGTAGCTGCGTAACTCAGCTGGAACGTTCTTCGGAATATTTAGGAGAACTGGAGAGAAATGAGTATGTAATTTTTGTGATGTGGCGAAGATATAAAAAAGCTTACATGGCTGGTTTTTGTTGAATACTACGTAAAAAGTAGAGAGCTATATAAAGACCGATTACGTAATGGGGTGCAGAAACTACTTAATTCTCTTTTAGCTGGCGGGATGATGATCCTCATTGTGAAAAACCTTGAAGGCTTCTGCTGTTCAGCTTAAGATGGTAATGTTTATTCAACTGAGTATTAAAATGTGGCGGCGCATATCATGGGTAATTATGCAATCAGTGCTTATTTGCTCTAGTTTTGTATTTTGTGAATCTTACTATGGTTTTGGCTAAAATCAACCAGTAGAAAGGCGTTCGTGGCCGGAACTGATAGGTTATCCTTTTGGCCAATCGGATGGTGGGAGGAATCCTCTCACTTCTACCAAACTAGATAAATGTCAGTTGCACAGTTTCATTAGAAGCCTCATGACTGCCATATGGAAAATAACTGACCTAAACTATGAGCTCAGAGCAGTTCGTTAGGGTGCAATTGTCGAACATATGATGAACGTATCCGTGGTGATAGACCAACCAAGTTTTCAAACTAGGCTCGGGTGGACGCATTTCTGGCTCACCTTAGTGATACTGGGATCACTTATTCTATGCACAATTGTCGGGAACGTGTTTGTTGTGGCTGCTATCCTGCTGGAAAAGCATTTGCAGGTAAGAGTGTGATACTGGTTCTGCCGTTATTAAGACTTTCGAGCGGAGTACAGAAATTACGAATACAGCCTTTCGTTTTTCGTATTTAACGACACACTAAGTTATCTTCAAGGCATTTAGGGTCTATTATCGTAAGATGTGAGTACGAATATTGCTTTACTCTTTTACAGTTTTTTGACTCTTTTGTCAAAAAAAGCTCAGAGTGATGTTTGAAATTTACAGGTTGATTCTCCACCTCACCAGTTGGAAAAATTGAACGTTTTTTCAAATCATAGTGAACACAGACCACCAAAGTAGGACATAAGATAATGTTTTATTAAATGATGTAGATAGACCGCATAGATGGACAACTAATCGTTGGAACTTCGCACTCATGTAGAAAAAACCATTCACTAAATACGTAAGTTTTTGAACAATGTGAAGCATGTCTTGGGTAAAGGTCCGCATGTAGGAAGCATTCTGATTCGCCAAATCATATATATTTTGGAAAGTACATAAGAGACAGTACTTCTATGGTCCAAGCCTCCGCGGCAATTTCGATCAGTCTGATGACACTAAGTTTTGTAGTGTCCCGAGGAGCGTTCATAATGTAGTACTCTGTGACAATCTTACGGCCATAAATGGCGCGTTTCTTTAGTCACTGTAGCGAAAAAGCTTTGGAAAATAGCAAGCGTTCTTCAAAATTCTAAGAACGACTCTGTTTCATGAGTATAAATTCAAATCTAGTATAACGAATGTCGACAAAATGATTTATTTGCATTTTTTATGTCATTTGCTTGAGGGTGAATAACGTCGGCGTCTGTGATTTATCGTGGTAAAATTGGATTTCGTATTGGATGAGCAATTTTCACAGCTGAATCTACAACAGCAAAGGTGCCGTGTTATGAGTAAAAACAGGCTGGAGATAGCGGTCTTGTTGCGGTTTACGCTTCGGCATTAATCTCGCAGTTTACACGCATTCCCACAGTTTGGGAGTTCACAATACTCAGTGAGGTCCAAAACGGCAGTTACTAAACAGCCTAGCGAGATGGACCCATAAACGCGCACCTGCAGTAGGCGTTGAGATTAATTAAAGTGAACAACGTTGCAAAAGTGTAACAACCGCATTGCGTCGGAAAACGCGAGATATTTTGTTTGTCTGTTGGCTTATCAGTTCACTTCTTTTTTAGTTTCGGTTTGGTGATTTGAAGTTTAAACATCTTTGCATCTTGGGGGTATTTGATATTCAAATCCATACTAGCGAAACGCGTTTCAAACCGCGTAAATAACTTGCGTAACTCTCAAAGCAAGTATTTTACATTGCTTCTCTCTTTCTGTGACATGAAT